CTTTCCATAGTGACCCATCTCAAAACGCGGCTTGAGGTACCGAGCTCTTGGCACTCCCAAAGATGTCATAAGTCTGAGCTGCTAGCTGATCAAAACAAAGAATATGGGGCTTTCTGTCGCACTCTTTCTAAATGGCTCATTCAGCTGTTGATATGATGGTTCGAATTTCATAGTCATCACGCGCTTACATTCGGACACGTAATTATTGCCACAGTGTAAATTCAAAGGGATTAATCGTATGCATGTAAGCAAAATAGTAACCGCTCGACTTCGGCTCACACGAACCGATGCAGAGGTCGAGATCCAGCATCCAACACGATCCACAATCCTGTCAGTGCATACGTGGCTGGTATGGGAGCAGTCCGAGAAGAAATCTCTGCCAAGGCCGACAGTGCGGTAGTACGCGCTCAGCAGATCAATCAGCCGCCTTCATTTCATCACCTAACCCAACTTTCCGCGCGTGGATATGAGGAGGGAACGCGATCACGTGGTAACGGATGGAGGCATGACTCAGCGAGCTCGTAGCTTTTACCGCACTGTCCTTTAATACTATTGCAGACACATTGTACCACTCACACACGCAAACGAGGGTAGAGCGAACAAAATAGAGGAGGGCACATTCACAGGCGGTTCATTGAGAAAACAACCCAAAACCGCAAGTGCGTGACCAAAGTTCACACCTGTGACAACGGTTTCGTCCGTCATGCTTGGCCGCTCCGCGAGACGCGGTCGGAGTCGAAAAATTGACATCGCCCAATTAATTGCGTAAGAAACAAATTCCGAAGCTAAGTTACACCGACCACGAGGTCATTGGCCACCTTAATGAACAAGTGCCTTCCTTTTTCTTCTCTCTCTCGTCGCCTTGTTTTTTTTTTTTTTTTTTTTGGCTTCCTGTATTCTTTCTTCGCGCCTCAGAAGTCAATTAACTGACCTTTCATACACGCTAAAAAAAAAAAAAAGCATTATAACAAATACATAAAAATGGCTCCTCAAATAAACGAAGAAGAAATGCGTCGCAGTAAAAACAGCGCGTGATCGACTATACTCCGATGCTCTGGCCCCATTCGTTCATTATCGTGCTCTTTTACTGTTTCACTGATTTATTGCCCTCTTTGCTTTCTTGGCGAGTATGTCGCTCTATCTTCGCTTTTTTCTCTCTCTTTTGTTGATGTTGTTTCTACTCGAGCCTCTACTTTCCATTCGGCAATTTTCCTCGGGAAGGAGAAAGGAGGGAGGTTAGCCGAACCGAGTTCAAAATTAAATTACCTGTCGTCTGTCATTCAGGTCTCTCTAACCCCCCCCCCCCCCCCTCCTTTTTTTTATTCTTCGTTTCTGATACATAAAAAAATATATCAGGAACGAAGATTGGAAACTGTCATGCCACGGCAGGAAGCCGCCGCAAGGAGCTCCGACGAGCCAACGAGAGCGAACTACCATATAAGCAAAATAGATACACAAAATAGCGGCATCTATACGCAAGTATAGAGTAGTAGTAGTGATGAAGCAACGCCGGCGGAATCTCCTACTAGCATGTCGCGTAAGCGTCGGAAGAAGATCCCAATAAATAAAAATAAAGCTCCTTCTTTCCCAAACCAATCTCCCAACAGGTTTCTTCGAGACTGCTCCTTTTCTTCTATTCTTTTTTTTTTTTTTTTTTTCGAAAGCATCTTTTGTCTCATGGGATCTTAGGTTAATGGCGTCAAACTGGTTTGGCTTCAACGGACTGCCCTTTCTTCTTTACTTTTTCTTTACCGAACTTTTATGGACACCCAAACATAACGCCTTACAGCCGCCCCCCGACCAAAAAAAATAAAGTAATAGAACTTACGCAATTCACAAAAAAAATCAGCGACGGGTATGGAAAAAAAAAAAAGCAACATGTATATGAAATAAACCGGTTGGTCCAACCGGCGTTTTGTGGAAAACGAAAGTTGCCGCTACACGGAGGGGTGTGCCTTTCTCTCGAGCATGCGCGGGCGCGCGTGTGTGCGTGTGCTAACCATCCCCACAGTGTTGGCAACCAGTCTGGCCATTCAACGACCTTGACGCCAGAGGGCCCACTACAATGTCTACACGCAAAAAAAAAAAAAAAAATAGGGCGTAGGTGTTGACCGTTTTGACACGTTTCATGCATGCGAACGGCACGCGTGTTTTATTTATTTATTTAATTAGTTTTTGTTTAAGTATTTGGTCTACAACCTTGCCAGAAACCGAGGAAGAGACAGAAACGAAGGAGGAGGAGGCGATCGTTTCCTCGATCAGTCAGCGAAATAACCACCACCGCAGAGAAGCTCGTGAACGGATTGAATGATGGGGAAGGGGGGCTTTTCGGACTTCCAAGGAACGTCCCACGAACCCCCGCGGGAAGATATCGGCTCCACATGGAAACTCGCTTGGCTGCCGCTGCCACTCGTCAGAAAAGTAAAAATACAAGTACTAAAGGTTGCCGGAGAGAGTTATGACGTAAGCCTAGACGGGACCCTGTGATGAAAGCGCCCCTTAACGACGTTTAATGATTCTCGCGCGTCGCGTGGGGGCGGGATGACGCGGATGTCTCGCCGGGATGATGTAACAAATATTTGCAAATACAGTGCTCGTACTATCCCGCAAAGCACGTGGCAGAACCAATCGCCGTAATCTACAGGGACAGCCCAGCGAATGGCAAAAACAAAAATATACGTAAAAAAAAAAAAAAAAAAAAAGCTTTTGCAGCAGCATTGCATGATGCACACACTCTCGTAGCGGTTGATGAGATCAGAAACATTTGCTGAAAATCCAAAACAGCGAGAGCTTCGCGTATCTGGACGCTTATATACGTGCAATGTAACTAACTGTTCAGTTCCTGCCAAATCGACAGACAAGATGGTTCGGCTAACTTCAGACACCAGTCTCGCGGGGTGATCGTAACACGAGTTCTAGCTGTTCTCTTTCACCTATGCCACTTTAATGCAGACTTGCTGGAGTAGTACGGTTTCTTCTGTTTTCTATGCCCTCCGTCTCACACTCTACCAAGTGACTGTCCATCGATAAGACATGCCTGCTATAACCTACAACCCAAAACGCATATAACGAAAAGCCTAAGTACAGCAACATGACCGCTATCGCAATTCAGCTATAAATTTGCCCCGAAGCAAATAGATGAGATTCTAAAACCTCTAGCGCATGTGTCTATATTACCTTCTCGTGCACGGCATTCAAGAAACTCGCGTAACTAAAATAAGTACATGTTTACCACGCGACAACCAGATTTCCTAAAGATGTCCCATATCGGGAACCACGAGGCGTCGCCCTCGAATTAATCGGTCCACCAGAATGATCAGGTATACACACTCATGTGGTACACGCACCATATCACGTCACACGCTATAAAAAAAGAAAAAAAAAGAACACTAAGAAAGAAGAAAAGAAAAACACAAGCAGAAATCATGCTCTCAGTCAGCGTTTTTGCTCGTCCGACCTGCTCTAAAGTATTGAGTCCAGCGGGCAGCTGTGCGCCCAATGAATCACCATAGGAGAAGTCCAATAAGAACCGTATAGTACTCGGCTTCTGTGTACAGGAAACGGCAGATGTCCGGGCCCACGCACCTCGTGCTCGCTTCCCCGCTAAATGTTGTTCCTCGAAGCTCCACGACATTCCGAACGCGATCACGTCACCTCCGCACATTTTCTCCCCCTCGCGACCCTCTCGGGATCAGCGTCGCCAATTAGGAGCTTAGATTTCTGTTCCAGAAGCTTGCGCAACACCGAAGCCGCCTCGGGGACGCTCTGCGCGTAGGCGTCGAGACTTACAAAAGAGATTATTTAGAGGGACGTTCGCGCTACCTTACCAGAAGTCTGTCGCGCGCCTCAATTTGCATGTTTTGTGACGCAGTATGTGTATACACTCAAACTTAGATAACACCCATGATTCACGCCATTATGGATGTTACGAAAGGAGAAAAAAAAAAAAAAAGCTACATTTTAGGACTAGTCGATTGATTTTATATTTCGAAGAGAGAAAGACAACAGAACCTTGTAGTAGAGCGTACGCTGCGGATTGCGCGCCCATGCAGCGAGGGCGAGAGAGGTTTTAGCAGAGCGCTTCCGCGCGCTTGACAAGACGCTTCGAAATTACCGCGCTAGTGTCCTGTATCTTAGGAAACCTCTTAGGAATCACCTTTCCTTAATCGTTATTGTTCCCCTTGAACGCGATGCAGGCTGCACCATATCAAAGTTGATTCACAGAACGCAATTTTATTTGCGATTTGGCAATTGCAATGTCGCTCGTGCGACAAAAAAAAAAGTATTGGGGGAAGTTATGGTGCCCGACGTCGCAGCTGCGAAGTCGCCAGCAAAATTCACATGCGTAAATCGGGGTTTAGAGGAATTATTTTCTTGCCGTCAAAAACCGCCGTCGCACTGCTCGTACTTCATACAAAAGACACGGCGTTCGTTGCAGATGATGAATACAAAATATTATCTGCTGAAACTCTTCAAGCAGACAGTTTTTGTATCATCAATGTGACACGTCCGTCATACAAAGCAGAAAGACGCCTCAAACAGCGTCTGCAGACAAGCGATAACGCAATCCTTCCACCCTGCCCACCGTCGCCTGTTTCCCCCTCCCCCATGGTGGGAAGGATCTTCTGCCTTGCAGAATCTAGAGTCTGGTCGTAGGGCTTTAAATAGGAAATGCCACAAGGAGACAGAAACATTGCGGACGAATGAAGGAAAACTATTACGCCATATGAAAAACAATCTGCAGACAGTCTTTTATTGGCAATGTGACCGCGGCTTTAGCTAACGCGCAGTTGGCACACGCTCCCCGAATGAGCATAAAAATTGCGTATCATAAGTGTTCAAAAAAATAATGAAGCGAAAGGCAACCACGAGGAAAATATGGCTTCTTCAAATTGCGGGAATTCGTATTTGACGTATGAACTCTCGAACTACGGCACGAGCAAAAGCTGACGCGTTCTGGAGCGCATTCTCAGCCATCACCTTCGTCTCTCTCATTACAGACTTCAGCCAAGCAAGACTTGGACGCTTACCTGGATCGCAACGGCGACTGGACCCAACGGCTGCAGCCGCCACCGACGGCGGCCGATACGAGCGCCCAGCAGAAGGCCAGGCGGGAGAGCGCCTCCCAGGTCGACGAGTTCTTCGAGGACCAGAGCGAACCGGACGGTGGTCCCGCTTCATCGATGGCCTTCGCGGCGTACGCCAACTCCCAGGCGGCCCTCCTCACACGCAACGCCCATCCACACCACCCTTACGCCCACCACCACCCGGTCCGACCAGACTACCGACTCTACCATCCGGCCTGCTCGAAACCATCGCCCGATGACGACGTCTTCGCCAAACCTAACCCACCCCAGCCGGCCTCCGGAACCTTCAACGGTATCTGGGAGGACATCACGGCTAGCATCAACGTCAGAGACCCGGACGTGTCCAGCGGGTCTGCAACGAACCAGGCGGACATGGTGCACGTCAAGACAGAATCCTCGGTGCTCGCACCCTGCCAGTACAGTAGCAACGCCACCGACAGTAGCGGCGGTCCCAACAGTGCGGCTGTGGGAGTCAAGCAAGAACTGGAAGCGTCCTGCTATCCTGGCGGAAGCTACTCGCCGCAGGGTGGGAATGGCGGCGCCGCGGCTGGCTTCAAGTTTACGGCCATGGTGGGACCTCATCTCTCCATGGGCCGGGTATATATGCCTCCGACGCCCCCGAGTTCAGAGCCTGGGAGTCCTGCTACGGACGGGGTGCCGCTGAGTTCGAGAAGAACGCCGCCACCGCCGTATCCGGCGGAGGGACCTCCGGGGCCGCAGGGCAACGGCGGGGCGCCGTGTCTGCAGCCCACCCGGTACAACAAGAGGAACAATCCGGAGCTGGAGAAGCGGAGGATTCATCACTGCGACTTTCCCGGTGAGCGCGTGTCCCCCTTCACTTTTCTCGTCTACGCGAGCTTACAGACTAGCTAATGTGCAGCCTCAGCTGATGAGCCAGCTGATGTACCGGCATCGCGGCTCGCTGTAGTGCCGGCTGTGGAACACAAAATGTCCTAATTTGCCATAAAAAAAACGAGAAAAAAAGAACAGATACTCGCGCAGAAGCAGTGCACACAGATCCTGTGACCAAACGGGCTTGTTTATATCATAAATGTTGGTATACAACGATCACGTAAGGTCGGAGCTGAGAGAAACACAACGAACATCCAGCCGATCTGCACACAGCTCAAATGTATAAGTAAGTACTACTCTGCACCTATATATCTTCCATTTGACCTCACTGCTGAGGGTTAAGTAGATGAGTAGACAGCTCTCGGCAGACCGATAGCGAGTATAAAACAAGACAGAGTACATCTATTCATCGCCTAGATAAAGTACACGGTAAGCATCCATTGACCTGACAGAGCTGAAAACACCGTGCCACCATAACAGGGTGAAAAAAAAAAAGAACAACAAAAAAAAAAATACTACTTTTTTGCAAAAGGACGTTGAGTAACTGACGAAGGTAGAAAGAGAGCTTAACGCTGCGGTTTGCTCACAACATTACTGCTTTTTGCTAGTGTTCATCGTAATAATAATCTTCCTCGCTTAATGAATATCGTATTTAAATACAAAACAAATGTTTCATAGGAGGCATCAAATAACAAACAAGCGGTAAACAAAAATACTATTTTGTGGATTATTTTCGCGGAATATTTTTCATTTAAGCCACGTAGTAAAACTGGTCTGATATAAATCAATGTTAAATAATTTTGATTTTTATTCTTCACCCTGCACCACAGGACGTAGCAAGGAAAAAAAAAAAGAATTAGGCGCCAAACAACGATATCGTGCATTGCATTTGACACCGTGGGCTGACCACCTCGGTGGCTGTGAGGCAATGCGCCGACATACGGATCCCCGGGTGGTGGGTTCGAATCCCAGCCGAGATGCCCGCAACCTGACCGAGGCTTATTGCGGGCAAGGCGCTCTGTTCTGTAATCGAGCTTTCGGTTGCACGTGTAAAGATTATCAGGTGGTCCAAATTCGCCAACATGTCGCTCGTCACCGTGTCGCTTTCGCCAACATGTCGCTTGACAGAAAAAAAAAAAGAAGAAAAAACTTGAATCACATTTTGCTTTGATATCGACGACAATTTCTACGTTCATGCTGACAGCAGAGAGACACTTAGATGTCCTGCCACCCCACGACTGAACAGCGTTCCCGACGCCGTGTCACACAGTACGAAGCGTTGCACGTACAACAACACTCTCATTGGGTCTCAAGGCGGCGAAATCATTCGCGATTCCCACGACCCACCGCCCAAAGGCAAACATCGCGGAATCCAGGCGACCCCGGCAACGCGACTTCATCATCCCCCGGTGGATCAGGAGCAACAGGTGCAGTGGGGGAAAGACACCGCTGCAGGCAAAGATCGGACGGCATTCATCGGGTCAAAGTGAAAGCGGGCGGACACATTCCGAAACTTGCCCACCCATCCGCAAAAAAGACAAACGAACAAAACCAAAACAAAAGTTTACCGCACGCGCTCCGATCATTCTTCGCATATCTCTCGTGTTCTCCTCTGCGCCGCAGAAAAAAAAAACAACGACAACAATTATAACAATCAAAAAGCCATCTACGAAGACCTCTAACACAAAACAGAAACTTGTCCTAAACTGATCAAGGCGTTCGTTGGGGGATCGAGAGCAAAAAAACACGAAAAGAAAACCCCGACAAAACAGAAGCGAGCGATGCCTGCGACAGTCGCGCGAGGTAGCAATTTGGTCGCTGCAAATTGTGCCTTCCGTCGATAAGCATCAGTCGCCCCCCTCCCAAGTTTTCCTCACAGTCCCCAAGTGAGGTGGGGGGTGAAGGCTGTTTCCCCCCACCAAAGGCCTTCTCCGCAGTCCTCTCTCTCTCGGTCGGTTCGGAAGGCGTCGCTCGCCGGACCCGCAGAGCGTACCGCCTTCTCCTCGGCGCGGTCGGACTCGCCAGACCGCGTGCCTCCACGCCACGTCCGAGGATAGCACCGAAAAGTACTTCCACCAGAAGAAGAAGCAAACACTCGCGGCGAGCGGAAAACTAGCCTCGGGTAAAACAGCTGCGCAGTTTTAGGCCCGGCATCTCTCTTCTTTCTCGCCGCGCACCTTTTGTGCGCTTCTCTCTTACTACACCGCGTGTATGTGGACGGAACGGGGAGGGGGGCTGGTTTGGACGAAGGGAGGTGGGGGTCCATCGGCTAAACAGACGCGTCGTTTTTATTCATTTTATTTTTATGAAGTGTCTTTTCTCACTCTCGTCTCCCCTTCTCCGCCATCTTTCTGGCATTCCGAGGAGGACGGACGGGAGGTTCGATTCGCTCAGCGAAGGTACCCCGGTGTTCGTGTGTCTCTAGTACGGCGGCCGGCGCGAGTCCCGACGACCAGTTTTTCTCAATGAACTTTTCACTCTCGCCTTCCTTCTCTCTGCAATGTGTGGTGGTAGACATTCCTTATTTTCGTGTGTGCGTGTGTTTTGTTCGATGTAAAGATTTATCCCTAAGCGCGCGCGCGTGCGCGCAAGCAAGCGAGCAAGCAGCGAGCCGACGATGAGATGAGATTCCTGAAAATTGTTCGGGCGAACGATGCTCGTAGTAATCGCAGACACTCCATTTTCGATCCCTCGCAAGATGAACACACCTTAATAAAAAAATAAAAAATAAATAAATAAGCAGCAGCGCCAAAATATATAAAGATAATGTACAAGATTAGCTTTTAGAGACGCCTAGGAATGTGCGTGCCGTTTTGGGTTGGCAAAGAGGGAACGCTAATGCGCACTTTACCGAAGCCGCTTTTGATGTCGAATAACTTTACAGCACTTGTGGTGCTCAGAAACGAATTCTCATTTGCTAGAAATAATTAGAGCTAACCTTCGATGGGCACAGCACCATAAAATATTTAATCGCAATGAGGAGGCCCCCGGTATGAAAGTGTGGACACTTAAATGTGCTTTGTTCTAACTTTGACTTCATCTACCTAAAACGTGTGCCCATTTTCGCTGTACTTATCCGCTGGAAAGTTTTTCTTATGGCGATAATTAATAGTCGCAATGCGGCTGACATAGTTGTTAAGAGTTATTTGTATTGTGTTATGCGCAGGTGTTTATTGACTCTTCCGCTCGAACCACGACAATTGTTTCAAGAATTATTTAAAAAGACGAACCCACACCCACGCAACCGATTGCACCTTGCTCTGTTGCCCAAAGAGATTTAGTTACTGATGCGCGATGTTTTTTTTTTAAACTAATTGTGCGTCATTTTGTTTCATCGTTGCAGGTTGCTCCAAAGTGTACACCAAAAGTTCGCATTTGAAAGCTCACCAGCGGATACACACAGGTAAGCCATAAAACAAATGCGCACATACCTATATGAATGTTTTAAAACCCCGCCTAAATGACTACGTAGAAGAAAACGACAAAAAATGTTTTCGGGTTGCTCTGTTGACAAAACAAAATAAAATAAACCCGGAAAACACTTATCCGCTCGAGATTTAGCGAAGAGCGTTAAGTTTGTCCAATGCAACTGGTATGTGACCGAACCGCCCCCCCCCCCCCCCGCACATACAATCAAAATAGAATAAATTAAGACAGCGACAAACATGCATAGCCGATTGAAATTAAGTCCAATCTCTGCATTTGATAAATTCTTAATCAGATACAAAAATAAAGCCGCTTGTTACCGACAATATTTTTTAAACGCGCCGCTTCTGGTACTAGTTCTTCCTATTGTGTTTGTTCCGTTTTTATTTCTTGCTCCCATCTCAAGTATTGTTTTGCTTATCCTGGTTCTCCGTGCAACGTCTGCTGTTGAATTATTTGTACTTGACGGCAAATGAACGCTGCCAGCGAGTGGTCCCTATCGATATCAGCTGCACCGAAGACCGCAGGTATACCTATAGAGCATCTCCGCGAGGAGATTATATCATCTAGGATCACGCCATGCCGCTTTCCATTGCCCCCCCAACACGCCCCTCCCCTCCAATTATGGCACAATAACGTTCCACAACAAAACCCAAGAGGGGGAATCGGCCTCATACACCGAGTGAAATCGAATCCGGGCACGGCCACCCCCTCGGACCAACTCTCAATTTCTTGCGATTATAAAAAAAAAATAAAGTAAGCGCTCACAACAGCCACTGCAACAAAGAGAAGTAGAGAAAAAAAAAAAAAATAGAAAAGCACGATGGCTAGTAGAATGCCAGAGAAGGGGGGGTTTTCTGTTGTTAACCCTTTGGGTGATTCCAAAACCTCCAAACTTTCATTCGTCGACTTTCGCGGCAGAATACAACAGGCCCGTTCGTTTGCTGCTAAACAACTTCCCCCCTCCCCTTCTTCCTTTTTTTGTCTTTTTTTTTTCCGTTTTGCTATTCGCGTATTTCACTGATGCAGGGGCGGCTTGTTCACGTGGCAAGGGCAACAACAATAATACCAATAACAGCCCTAAAGCGAACCACATCGAAGGTATACCTGTCAATCCGTCCACTCGCATTCCCTTTCATGCACGTAAAAAAAAAAAAAAATTTTTTTTGTTTGGAGTTTTTTTTAACTTTCCGTGGCGAGCGGCCATCTTGGCTCAGTCACCATTTTCACGGCGAGAAACCATCACGGCTAACGCTTGCGGGCGAAGAACTCAGCTAAGCCTAAACATGGCTGCCACCATACCATACCAGCCTAAAGCTTTCTGTCAAGCAGGGTATTTTTTTTTACTATTATTTTAGTTTTTCGACTTCCCCCCCGACCAGCTCGTAAACTTGCCTGACTTACGATCCCCAACAAAGACGTGAGAAGAAAAACGCAAGAAAACAAAAACGTAAAAAGCGCCGACTCATTGTTCGATGTTGGCGGCTGTCGCGTGGTCAAGCTCGAGCCCGACCGGTTCTGAATGTGTCCGGTCAGTCACGTCACCGTAAGTCACCATCTCCGACGTAAAATAATAAAAAAAAAGGTGAAACAAACGGCTTGCATCTGACCCTCCGGAAGTCAAATGGGGATGCACATTTGCCGACTGGGGATTTCCTTTGTCCGGGACGCCGTTCATTCCACTTAATCCACGTCAAGTCGTTCTAAATCCGCAAACATCTTTTAACTGCCCCCTCCCCTCCAAAAAAAAGAAAAAGGGAACCATAATCTAATACTGTAAGCTTTTGACGTTTAGTGTCGGAAGTTGCCGGACCCACGCATATGTATGGCAGCGACGGCCGTGCTATTTTTCTTGCGACGATCAACGTGGCTACTGGACGTCGGGCTTTAAATCGCAACTGTCCGACAGATGACGTCAATAAAAACGCGATCCGTAGGCTCCAGCTGAGGTTGAGGGATGGCCACAGGGATTACCGAGAGTCACGTCAGCCTTCCCGGAAAATCCTTAGATATCCCCATATGTGGTACGGTCCAAACTCTGCCAGTTCAGAACACACACATCGAAAATGTAAAACGAACACAACGTGCTATGTTTTGTTTTTCTACCTTAATTGCGTTCTGGATAGACCGATACGAAGTGCTCTTAATATTCGTGGGTTATCTTTCACGTGCCGTGCACTGGATTACCCGTGATGCATCAAGAATAGGGTAGATCGTGGATGCGCCATATGTTTCTAGACCGGTCTATATTGAGGAGTAGCGGTTGTACCCATGCAAATAATTTTAATGCCGAGTAGAGACCGTCGAACGTATTGCATTTTGCGCAACTACGTGATCAATAAGGGTTCGGAACGCAAAAAGTAGCCAGCTAGCGCAGCATTCACGGTTCCACTGTGTAGCCAGCACCATCTATGGAATTGGCAAGGTGTGATCTCCTGTAAAGAGCTATGTCGTATCGACGTGTCTTAAACGAAAGGCTAGTTGGACTGAAAATCCGAAACAACGTGGCGTTATTTGTTGTCTCGTATTGTTCGCGCTGTTTTTAATTCGTTTTTAGTTGTAAACCCTGTTTTGTAGCAGAGCGTGGTCAATCCCTGTGGCACTTCGCGTTATGCGGGGTACGAATAATCTGCTCTTCCCAAAATGGGTTTCTTCTGCGCATGCGTGGGGGTTACAGCTCCCGCGTAAAAACGTGTTTCTTTGTTAATTGTTACATACTGTTAAACTATATAAGCCAATTATTTTCACTCGGTTCATAACACCGATTCACGATGGCTAAACGAGAGCGTTTTTCCACATAAATTGGTGTATAACAATAGCACCGATGTAACGTCAATAAACAAGACCGTTTTTTTTTTCTCATTCAACGAATGGTATGATACATAAATTATCGCGCGAGTTTCTGTAGTGGTGAAAAGCGTCTACGCAACAGTCAAGACGTATTCGTTCTAACGCTAGGCTCAACGGCATTCAAATTTCTCTAAAAGTCGATATCAGAAAGTGGGTAAGTTCTCCCCCCTGCATTCGTTTCTAAAAACCCAAACGACAAAAAAGAAAAAAAAAAAAGAAGTGACTGGAAAGCCAACTACGAGTGGGTTGGAGACATGGGCGTGAATGCCGCGGTCTTCTTTTCATCCGGAAAAGATTAGCCTTTCACTGGTCACAACACGCGAGTGCGCTCACAAAGACGAAAATAACGCCTCAAAACGTAACAACGGCGAAAGAGAACTCCCAACTTGGGGAAGAGGCAGAACCATTTCCTCAATTTAGCAGACTACTGGTGCTCACACGCACACAAACCGCACACCGGCAGTCCAATACGCATCGAGGGGCGCTTATAATAATAATACTACTATTAATAATAAAAAGAACGAAATGAAAGCAACACGTGAGCTCTTGATCCCGATCGGCTTTGTAGCTTTGTCGGCTCGCCGAGACCTGCTCCATAAATTGTCTGGCCTTGACGCGAGATGGCGCTACACACACTAACACACACGCAAGAAGAAAAAAAGCTGTCCCCGCAGGCCCACCGCCCTTCGATTCCCCTGTTTCTCCTGTCGTTTTGTCTTCCCTTCGCGTATTTCTCTATTTCTAGTTTACGTCTATAGAAATTTCGCACACCTTTCCTTTTCTGTGTGTGTTCGGTGTTGGTGTTGACGAAGGCCAGAGCGGCCCGGGGAGGGGATTGGGGGGGGGGGATCGTAAATGTTCAGTGAAAAAGAAAAAAAGGTAAAACACCGTGGGAGTAGGATTGAAAGGAAGCTCCGATCGGGCGTGAAAACGGAGGGACACACAGGCCCAGACCACATTATTCCATTAGGGGTAACCATTGTGCAGGCTCCTGGTACAAATGGTGTCCACCTCCCGATAGGTATTTTATTTCTCTCGCTTTGCTCGACGTGATTTTGCTTTCTCTCGCAAGAGTGAGTCCCTTTGGATCCGCGGACCGTGTCCCCTCAATTTTCCCTTCTCTCAAAAATAAAAAAAGAAAGAAAGAAGAAATTGGTTGAATAACGGGGAAACGGTAGCGTCGTAAATATTTTCAGGCCACCATCCCTTAATCCCACACAACTGTGGTACACATCGCTAAATACTTTCTTTTAAAAACGGCTATCGAGCGGTTTTCCAGAGTGTCCTGAAGTGCACACTAACGCACGGTTCTGACGTCGCATCGCTGCGGCGACGCTACTAAATAGCTTTAGGGAACCGTTTCTGCACACCCGATACGGTACGACGAGCCCTCCTGTGCGAACTGCGCATGTGCGAGTCTTCTGCGGTAGCACTCTCCGTATATCGGAGGACCAACCATGCGTAATCGGTTGTAAAAGGACGGTTCCCTAAAACTGTCTACTATCGGAGCGGCGCGCAGACGCAGACGCTTCCCTTCTTGCGATTCCGGTTTCTGAGGACGCGCAGTGCCTACACCTAGTGCAGGCAAACGCGAACTCGTTTGTAAACAGCTTGTTCGGTGTGCAACTGCTTGACTTAAAACCTGCTTTCCTTTTTCTTTTCTTCTTTTCCTGCGCAGGAGAGAAGCCCTATCATTGCCAGTGGCCAGAATGCCAGTGGCGCTTCGCGCGGTCCGACGAGCTGACCCGCCACTACCGCAAGCACACGGGCGCCAAGCCCTTCAAGTGCAGAATATGCGAGCGGTCTTTCGCCAGGTCGGACCACTTGGCGCTCCACATGAAGCGGCATCAGCCCAAGAGCAAGTGAACCACCGCCGCCTCCACCTTCCAAGGCTCGACGAAGACGCTTCGTCAAAACAACCAAGCGAGATGAAGAGAAAAAGCATCTGCGCACAACGCAATGTACAACAAACTGCTCCCACGTCACGTGTAACATAAAGACTCTGGTACACCGTGACGTACCAGACGCGCGCACGAGTGTTCCGGAATGGTACAGCTCACATACGCGAGCTCCTGGAGACGGCAAAGGACGCTGGGGACTCGACAGTACCCCAAGTCACCCACGACCTGTCCGCCCAGCTGGTGGTCATCAAGATTGGGACGCCCGTGCACCAGACCGTGCCAGACATTTTGGTCGTTGTGCTTTCAACTAGAAACCGAAAGCGGACGGTCGTGCCAGCAGCGTGCCACGTCATCACCGAGTCCAGCTCTGCAAGCGTCCAGGAACGGGCATCAAAGCACCAGGATGTCTTGGACGTTCCCTACATTGCCTTCCCGATGGCCGACGCTGTTGCAATGTTTGGAGACTGAGGCGCCGGATCATGTATCTGCTGTGTCTCGTTCACTTTTTTTTTTTTTCCTCAATCAGAACATGCGGACGGTAATATTTGAATCCGTGTTCTTCGAGAGATTTTTCTGAATTCATCACGTGCCATCAAAGGCTATTTTGCTGCCACCACAGTGCCAATCTCCAAGTGCCGCGACGCTGGCGAAAGAGCATCTCTCAATTGTAATTAGTTATCTTATTGTTCGTATCTTTACTGTCTTCCATCGTTGACGTTGTTTCTGTTGTTGATACGCTCGATTGTGATGTTTGTTTAATACTACGGCCCCGTTTGATGCCCCACGAACCTTTTTGTACGGCTTCCACTGTTATGCAGAGTTTCTTACTCTCTTCTATTCGTTCGGGTGTGTGTCGGCAAACGCCGGTTGTCTAGCGACAGTAACATGCTCGTACATGGTGCAAAACACACGGTATTTGCTGTTGACATGACGACAAAATCATGTGCGGACACGACTCAAGTATGTTCGACGCATATTTGCTTGATACATATGCATGCTTAGAACATGACTGCATACTGTCTTTTTGAATGATGTACTAGCAATGTGACCGCGAATTTAGGAAGGAATGATGCAGCGTTCAGTACTTAAAACGTTCAAGGGCTAAGCCTTTCAATGCCCCATCATATATTCTTCTATACAAACCGTACATTTCAGCTTGTGGGATCTGGCTTGAACTTCGCAACATCAAAGTCGAGGTGAATTTCGTAAAAAAGAAAAGAAAGATTGCAACTCTGGCAAGGAAAAATGCGCGTGTAGCCTACCAAGGTAATAGTAGCGAATGATTTTAGGTTTTATTTATTTGTTTTCTTTTATTTTTTCTTCGGATACGTATTCGCTGGCTGCGGCTAAGGAAACACACGCGGCACTTTGTGCGCATATGTGCCACGTGTAGCGTCTCTGCGCACTACGCGACGTCAAACCCCGCGGCGTAGATAATTGTTTCTCTCGTCAATCCCAAAGGCCATTGTTAGCCATCAAAATTTCGCTCGTTAACTGTTAAAAATGTTGTTTTGCTACGACTGTTTCCACCTCGCTGAAAGCCGTCAAAATTTACCATTGTTCGTATTGCGTCAAGGTGCAACACCAGTAAAAAAATAAAGACATTGAAAAAACATAAAAAAAGAGCAACAGGTGTTTAATATACCGCCACTTTTACCGCGAGCCTTGTACACTGTTACCGCCTGATCCGAGCCGAGAAAGAATCCAGCTTATACCATCTTCCGATTGTACAACAAATTCGCAGCCGCCTTCTCGTTTACACACCAAGTGCCATACCACAAAACGCATCAAACGCTGTGGACTATTGTTCACGTTAAGCCTAAATATGTTCACGAGACTTTCCACGTGTGCCTTATGAAACACTCGCGCCTGTACGTAAAAAAAATGTTCCAGAAGGACTTTAAACACAGTAACTAATTTAAAGATCTGCAGCGATTTCAGAAAGCATGTGCCTGACGAGGCGGACGCCCTTCTTCTCCTGTGACGTCAGAAAAATATGCTCTGAGTGGCAGAGTGATGTCGTGTTTCCTTGGGAATCCAAGGGCAAGTTGTCTCTTGCCACTCTTTTGGGACAGTTTTCACACTATTCATTCCTTTGTAGTCTAATGAGAATCTAAAAAAGAAGTTTAATGGTCCTAAATGTAGCTTGAAGGAGCCTTCAGATCAGCTGAACCGCACTTTCTCCTAACTATTTTAAAAATGTAAAAAAAGCAAATTGCAAGAATAAAAAATATGTCTCATTTCACTGCCCCCCCCCCCCCCCTTTTCCCCCCTCCCCCCGGAAGGAATGGGACACCTGCAAGATTGCACTAAAAATTGTACTGGTGAATATTATAGGCAGGCGGGTCTTCATCGGGCATGGCGCCCGGTTGCAGTCGCCTTTTTCGCTTCGATCGTCTGTTTTTGGCCCGCGGATTAAGAGTGCGGTAACATTTACACAGAACAAGTAATTGGTGACCGCAATGCAACATTAAATAAAATTAGATGATTCGCCATTATTACGTGTTAATCTTAGTGCTAATCTACCAATCAGAGCACCAATCTTCATAAAGGGACAAGTGAATCACAGTCCTTGCACACGGTAAGTTGCCAATTGTGGCAACAGGTGAGATGTTAAGCTTAAAATAGCGGTAGTTAAAATCAACCAATTAACACATCCTTTTCAAGGTTATTTGTTGGCCAAACCGTTTTGGTTCAAGAATCGAGAAAACCGAATGCATACCGCTTGCTTTTGTCGAAGTAGCAACCACTCACTCAAACCGCGTACACAACGTCAATCAAGTACGCCATTAGAGTTGAAAGTAACGCTACCACAGCGTCCTCAATCTAACTCTTCATCAACTATTTTCGAACCGCTCACTAAAAAAATATGTTGACTGTCCCACTCCGCCTACCATCCCCTTTTTCCCCACTCTCCCCTATCAGTCGTTCAATTTGATGGCCTACCGAGAAAACGCCGCACTCTTCTACACCTCCCGAACAGTGTGACTCGCGCCATTTTGAAGCCCCAGTTCTTGGCTTTGTTTCTCCGAGCAGTTTCTACCCGACCACGCTAGAGAGAGTTAATAAAAAATAGATGACTGTTGTACCGAATCATTCCAAGCTGCCTCCGTAACATGTTATCACATGCGATCTCGTCTCTACGTCATCGTGTCACCGGTCACCATGTTGTCATTTCGACATGCATCGAGAAATATTAGCATGTGTACATAAAACCTGCCTTTATTCTATATATATATTTTTTTCTTGAGAATTGAGTTGAATCTTTGTGCGAATCACACTTGCCGCGTTTTTCGACGCTCAATGTTTCGTCGATGCTCAAGTTGTACTTAATATTTTTCTCTGTTTTTACACGGGTTGTGTACATACTTTTGAGCACAGATCTTTTGGGACTGCAGAGTGAACCGTATGTATAAAAAGGAGGGAAAAGAAACTTGGTATTTTCTCTTTTAAAAGTGGTGCCTTCGAGGGTTTGCGTTGATTGCTCATTCTTTATTCCCTACCTTTTACCTGATGTCCTGTTTTCTTAAAGCCATTCTGTTGTTTTTAAGTGTTGTGTAATATACGACTGTTGTTGCCCAAAACGAAAATAAAAGAGTGCCATTTTTTGTCTAAAAAGGTGCCACTGTGTCTACGTGTATACAGAGCGCGACAACAGCATACGAACACGCAGTCGTCTATATTTTCTGAATTTCTCACACTGAAAAGCTGTTCTTAAAACTAGCAGTGTAATGGAATGCGCTTAAGCGTGTCGTCAATGGCAAACGACACGCCAAAAAAAGGTTCAGCGCTGAATTCCATGACGTCACTAGACCTTTTTAATTGACTAGACCTTTCCAGCGTTTACCACCACCAATGCGAAATATGGTGAGGGCTGCCGATGGCAGCGCGCAGAGCGGGAATATTTTAATGGTCTACAACTGCGCAAAATTTAGACAAAGACCGAAGTACAAAATATTCGCGGAGTTCCTTCGTTTGTGGGGCCTTACTCAAAGGTAGCGCGGCAAGAAACATTCCACCACGGTGTTGATGTGCTTCGCTGAGAAAACCGGGATCTATAATAGCATCAGGCTTTCGGCTAACAGCAACAAGAAGCTCAATTCGATCGTTTTCACAAGTCCATCAAGCACCAATGGCGGGCGCCGCTTTTTGCGAACGAAGCGTCTGATTGGCCCCGAGTCCTCACCGAACACTGACGTAGCCCTCGTGTCCAATATGTGCTCAGATCATGTGCCCAAACAATGGCGGATTCGGATGATTGATGCAGCAACCTCTAGGTGGCGCTGGCTGTCTTGAAAAGGGTATCTTAGATACCGAATGAAAAGGGTATTTTAGATACCGAATGTTTATGTATAGCGAGAGGTCAGTGCAACACGTACGTCACACAGCGGGGACGATACCCGGCAGCACGCTGGTGCGATGCTTATCCAGATAAAAACGTGCAGGGACGGAGATTGAACTGAGGATCGCTGCAGAACCAAGGGATCCTGGGTACAATGCCCGTCCCTGCCCGGGTCGATCCGGATGAGCATCGTACCGGCGTGCTGTCGCGTGCCGCACGTGGAAGACCCCAGGCTAGCAGTGGTACTGCACAAGGGTCTTCCGCTGTCGAAACAGAGGGTCACCACACCTATTTTGTAGAGCTCGGTAATGCTGCAGAAGCGTTGAACGGGACGCCCTACGAACTCCAAAACCTCATTCATACATCGATATCCCAAACGGATGGCCGTACTTGTGGAAAAGAAGGGTGAGATCCAGCTAGGAGTCTGACGTCACGATCCTCGTGGAAGAGTTGAGAATGAAGGGACTCCTCGCTTCGGTTCACCAGCTTGACGGGACGAAGTGAGGATCGATGCGAGCGAATAAAACTCGTGACGTCACATGTCTCGTCGGCAGTGTTTAGTCGCGCATTTCTTTTCCAAAAATCGACATTCCGCTGAAGAGATCTTCTGCGCACGCTCAGAACACATTCAATAGCACACTAGACAAGGATGTAATACGGTGGAAAATTGGGTCAGTCGGTGGTAGATGAATAACAAAAAAATAAAACAACGCCACAAAAAAAAAAAAAAAAATACGGAGGACAAGACGAAGTGTACAAACAGAGCGCTGACTCTCAACCGATTTATTGGAAGAAACCACAAATCGACAAGGATCACAGATCATCATAAAAGGCCAAGAAACATATTGAATCCCCCGCAAGTGTCAAATCTGCCCTAAATGGCAACTCTTCGTCAAAAACTGCTACAAAAAGCAAACTGACCCACCTTTCTTTTTTGTTTCGAAATGTAAAAAGCCTCTTAAATTTCTCTCGTCATCTGTTGACTGGGTCGTCCTAAGATACTCGCTTTTATCGAGAACGGGTTTCACAAGGATGGCGGCGCGCAGAAGACGACAATGCGGGGAGCAAGCCGTCAGCTTCTTGCGCAGGAGTTTCGGTGACGCCAGAAGGACGCCGAGCTGTGATTGGCTCTGGCTGGAAGGATAGTGGGTAGACCTCCAATGCCAGATTCCTCGAGATCTACCCACTCTTTTTCTTCAGTCAGCCATTAAGAGCTCGGCGTTCAAACATTCATGATTCATCGCATCCCCCCGTGCAACAAGCAGACGAACTTGAGCTCCGCGTATGAATCGTCTATTCGTATAGAAGAATCCTTTTCAGAGATGACACAGAACGGACCGCAAGATTTGTTTAAGCCGAGGTCACGCTGCTCGTGCCTCATACCAGCCTGCTGAGGCGTGTTTCTTCCTCGTACGACTGTCCCAATAGTCATGCAAGGACCGCCTGCAGACATGTTGAAATCATGCATATATGTATGAACTTCGGACATGATTGAGCCGCTTCCGCCGATAATTCTGCAGCGTGTGTATTTGTACGACGTATGGGGCAGTGTGACGGCGGCTGTATAGAGCGTGAGTGGGCGCACGTTCCCACTCGGGTGGATACGTGACCAGTCCGCTTTCGCCGGTGATATCCCCCAAGGTTCCCCGACAACTCAATCGCGGCCGAGGGAAGGAGGAGGCCGGCCTCAGAGCGACAGGAGTTCGACGCCTCGGCCCACGCGCGGCTGTCACAGATCGCGTCATTAGCCATGCTGCCCCCTTCAGGCACCGCCTCCGAGAAGGCGGGCAGCCCCTGCCTCACATTTCTGGCGCGACCTAAGGCCGGGGCTGCAGCGGGCTGCTGCAGGGCCAGAGATGACACGCCGCGTCACGGGGACAGACGTTCTTACCTTACCGGTAACTCACGTACATGTTTAATAACCTAATAACAAAAAGGTTTAGGCCGCGGTCGCACTACCGATACATCGTACGGTGCTGGCCGCGGACACGACATCAGCGTTAGGGAGTTTTAGTAGACCGTTTCCGTAGCTCACTAAGCACCCGCATAGCGCTCCGTAATCAGCCACAAGACCTTGAACCATGCAAACAAGGTTGGCGGCGGGCACCCGCTGCTGTGGCGGTTTCTTTGCGGATAACGTAGCGGAGGAGAAAAACGATCTCCTACAACTCCCTCTTATCTGAGGATATGCCTCAAGCACGTTCGAAGCTGTGGATAAGGTTAAAAATCAAATTTGGGGGTTTTACGTGCCAAACCAACGACGGGCATCTGGCACGCCCCAGTGGAGGACTGAGGATTAATTTGGACCACCTAGGGATCTTTTAACGTGCAACCGAAAGCTCGGTTACACGGCGCCTTCTCCGCAATAAGCCTCCGTCAGATTGCGGGCACCTCGGCCGGGATTCGAACCCGCCACATGGGGATCGTGGATAAGGTTAACATTCGCAACACCTTCACATTATTGACCACCATAATGAAGAACAGTAATATTACGAATGATTGCCATGGCGTCAGACTCATCAAACACATCTAAAGTAAGAGTTTTCTGTAAAACGATATTTAATCCCGGAATATAAAATGAAATAAAACAATTCGAAGTGCCCCACGATCTTGACCATGGCGCAATCGGGGTAAGTGATCCTATCAATTCTTACCGAAGAGCACGCCATGCAGCTGTCGCTACACCGCGTGCAGTGACAATGGGATAGACCGCTATTTACGGCGGTCATTGAAGCAGAAACAATCGCGCACAATCTCAAGCCCACACACATAACCTAGTAGTCTCCGCTATAACCAACTTTCTCGAGCCATTTTTTTTTTTTTTTTATCTATCATTTTGTGGGCGGAGAATCCGAACCAAAACGACGATCAGTGAATGGAAATGAACGCACCTTTTGCCTCATCAGCGCCCCTTACACCCAAGCCCAATTCCACCAGCAGCCCTATACTCCGTTCACCCCTAAGCTGACAGTGCGCTGAAAGCTACCCGTTCACCGGACCAATCAGCCGTCTCCCTTTTGTCACCTGACAGCGCACTCTGCGTGCCGGTGGAAGTGTGATTAAGTGGTGGAAACTAGACGCCTGACTTGTATAGAGGAGCAGAAAGCTCCCATCGCACTGTCAGCTTAGGGATGAACGTAGCACTCACGGACACGCGAGCCACGAATAAAACTCGCATGAATCACCGTCGCAACTAGAACTACAACAACCACAAAGCATCGAGCGAGCACCACCGCGAAAACCCGTCAGCGACCTCAATCTCACGCCATGCATTTACTCCTGCGGATTCGCTTTTGCGAAAATCCCGGCCGAATTACAACACCTCCGACAGACTGCGGAAGCCAAAGCCAAAGAAGAAGTAGAAGGAATAGAAAAATAAAATAAAAAAAAGAGGGGGGATACGTTGGCACCCGAAGAAAAGCGGAGGAGGCCTAAACGGTATTCAGGACCATGCTCCACTCGGACCGTCCCGAATACAGAACGCGAATGAGCGATGAGCCGAGTCGGAAAAATGGGAAACCTACGCTATCCTCGGAGACGCCTCACCAAAGCCGATTAACCAATCGATCAGCTTCCAATTAGTAGCCCCCTCCCTTCTTTCCACCCCTCCCCCGTATAGTGTCCCAAAAGAACCAGTCGGTGACATAAGAAAAAGGGCCGACGACGATCGTTCTTTTCGGTGTCTTGGACTCGCAACGCCGGCTGGCTGCTAGACGCTTGCCGACGGCGGCACCTTGGGCCCGAACATTTCAATGGATCTCGGAGACAGCTGACGAATATCCAAGGAATCTCCCCTCCCGGAAGGGGGGAGGAGAGACTCCGAAAGGAGAAGCACATCAGTGACAGAGGAGCCTATTAAATACGCTCGATCACTCCGATCCTGACACCGCGCGCAGAGACGTACAAAGAGAGTATATGGCTTCGACTCCGGCTCCGTAGCGTCGCGGATTCGGAAAAGCGCAGCGGCCATCGGTGATTCTGGGAAAAGCAGAAAGATGAAAAGGCGGGTGTTGACAATGGATAGTACTCCAGGGTTACGCGTGTAGTTTTCAACATCCGCAGCGTCATGTGTGTGGGGTATCGCACCAGGCTGATCGGGTGATGCGGGAGAGCACACGGTCGCGTGACGATGACGGCATGTCGCTGCGGCGACGTTACGTGCTGTTGTTGTTGATGGATCACTTCCTCCGGGGAGGGGGAGGTCGAAACCGTAGGTCGTCTGTTGCCACAACACGATTTCTACGCTTGTTCCTTTTTCTGCCGTGTCCTAAAAAAG